CAACTTAACAGCGGGTTAAATTTACAGTAAACAAAATGATCATAAGGTTCTTTGATATTAAGATTAATGTTGGAAATTCAATACATTCAACCGCCAACCTCTATTGACACATTAGGGTAATACGCGAAAGTTCATACTAATGTTCAGCAATTTACCATTCATCTTAGTCAGCTACAAACACCAGTATAAAATTCGGGCAATAAGCTTCATGTCATCATTAGATACTCTGTTTAAATACCGCTACTACGGTATGCATTCATTGTGCCTTTCCAATTTCAAGGGCACTATTCTTGGCAGCAAATACCCTGCTGTCTTATGCATTTTAAGCTGTAGGATCATTATCCTCGTGCTTTCGGCTGCACTCTATCTCAAAGCTAGTTTCACACTGTTCAGGGCATGTTTATCTTCGTTTGCAATGTCTTTCCTCCGGCAAATCTCCATGTGCATTTTCTGTGAGACTGAATACTCGAAAGGAGTTGTTTCTCTTCTTGCTTGATTTTATTTCCATTTTCTTCATGTTGCTTGCTGATTTTGAAATCAGTAATTGTTTTGAACCATTGCTCAAGAAGCGAATTTCATAAACTGTTCTAGAAAGGACATACACAGGCTGTAACGGTAATAGACCAAAATGAAACACGGCTATAAGCCTGGAATAAAATTATTTCGGACTTCTAACCGTCTTTTACCTTCATATGTAAGCTTTACTCATAGAGAGATTTACTTCGACTCACCAGGTGTAGAACTCGATTCAATTCGAGAGAAATCAATGTCTTATTCATCAATTTCTTTGAATAAGGAATTTATCCACATTGTTTCAGATCGATGTTGCACAATCGGCACTGTATCGTTCGTAGAACAGCGAGATGCGGGGTTTTAGCCTTGGCTGGAGTCACTCACCCTTCTTTCTTTCGAGGTTCGTAAATGAGTACCATTTTGAAGGGAGGAAACAGTCAACTACGTATCATGCTCACCACATTGCTGCTGTTGACTCTGGTTTTAAAATAGAAGCATTTCTAGCTGATGGCATGGAAATGGAGATCAGCGCTTCCACTACTAATTTCACGAAAGGAAAGGCCCCAGAAAAGTCAAAATATGAAAGTGCCAAGAAGAAGAAGAAGAAGAAGACCCTTCGACGGTTACGAACTTCGTTTTTCTTCGCTGCATGTTTTCTGCAAGAACTTTAAAATATAAGTCAAAAATACACAAGCAACTGTATACCCTCAGTTTAAATTTCATCGTTTAATTGCAATTAAGATAAAATCATCAACACTCATAGTTTAAAAGTTAGCGACGACCGGATCCAATTAGGCAGATGCCGTCGGGCGCGTACCTGAAAACTGCTGATCAAAGAGGACACCAAGCACGCCCATGAAGCAACGGAAAATTTTCGTCCCTCGCAGGGAAGAAAGATCAAGCTGCGGACAGCGAGGTGATCGGGTGTATTTATCAGAGGAACCTTGCACCAGGAGTGCGGTGCAGTTTGCTGGTTAACGCGGATTAGTTTCGTGGACTGACACAAAATCCGCAGTTGTGCCAAATGTCAGAACGAGTTGAGAACAGTATTAAGATTGATAGCAGACATCGAAAACGGAGTGAATAAAGAAAATCGACTGATTGACAGTAATTACCCGTGTGTATATAAGCGTCTGCAATAAAGCTTTACGTTGATTTCGTCCTCTTTTTAAGGAGGTATTTACCTTGAAATTTTAGAGGCCGCGTTATGTGTTGACCATAGGACTGGACAGTCACCTATTATGGCCTCAGTGGTAAGTGTAGGCACATGATACGCTCACATCGGTAGAATTCCCGCTTAAGAAAAATGGTCTCTTCTTCAGATTCGAACCCTGCACCTCTTGGTTTTGAAGCTGAATTTTTGCCAATGCGCCCTCGTACCCACCGTTACTTAACTCGAAAAAAAAACGCATGTTGCCGAGTTGCGGAGCTGAAAAAAAATAACGTAGAAAATTACACAGTGATATGCCGGATCGAAATTGTGGCACCAAAATTGCTGGCGGAGGAGAAGACAACCTTTGTATAAATGTAAGATGCATCCTACGAAGAAGATATTTTTATCTTCAAGTCGATTCTAGTCTCCATGG